GACTGACCTTTTCATTAGGCTACTTCTGATTAGCCCTCCATATCATTGTACCTTTGTACACTATATATCCTACCGTCTATTATAAGTATTTTGGACCGTTAACAATTAACTATCAACTACTAGCTTGTAAACTGGAATTTCTATGTCTCTAAATTCACTTCTATGTTTAACTACCTTGTTGAATTTAGACATTAACACCGTTAGATGTCTGCTCAGTGGTCTAGTGGTTAAGTGCTCACGCACGGAACCAGTAGGTCCTGGGTTCGAATCTCGCAGGGGGCGAGGTCGTGGACGTGCACTGCTGAAGAGTCCCACAATAGGACGAAACGGCCGTCCAGTGCTTCCAGATTTTCCATGGTGGTCTAGTTTCAATTGACTCATGATCTTAATCTGTGAAATTTCTAAAATCTCCACAAAAAACACATCTCATATTAACTACCTTTTATCAACTCAATCTAACGTAGTTATATCATAGGAAAAGTATAACTTACATTTCTTTAATGTCTCTTGAAGATAGAGTTCTGTGTGTTTTGTGATTTGTTTCCGGTTTATTTATTATCTTATTCTATAGTTATATGAATTAAATATAGAATTAGAAGGATTAAATGAAGTTATGAACAATTTAAAAGATATTAAACAAATCAATACAAATGATTCTTCAATGACCCTTGGTGAAATCCTTTTAGATGCTTTATGTAATTATCTTAATATACAAGAAAATTCATCATTAATACCATCGAATCTATTTGATCTTGAAGCGAAAATTGACAGTATTCTAACTAATGAATTAAAAGGAGGCGATCAAGTAATGTGTTTTGTTATTATCTTTTTTTCCACAATTCAATTTATGCTTATTGATTGTTCGTAATGTTTCTTTTGACCTGAAATCTTAACACATACCGCCTATATTTAGATAGTCGGTAATATTTTACCAGGATTTCAGTTAGTTGGCATCTTCTTACTGCGTTTACTTACGCCTATTACTACTTGTAGAGAGCATAGGATGTTGACCACCAATCTACAACCAATTCTGTTCTTGGTTCTCCTTTCCAGTCGTTCCCAAATCCTATTTATTGTTTTGATGTCTGTCTCCAATTCTCAGTGCTATGTGTTCGTTGGTCTTCGTTTATTCCTTTTGCTATGATGATACTGAATTATGACTTGTCTCATGTTGCAGTTCGATGATTTCAGCTACAAACAGTCAATTTCAGTGATTCCAGAGTAGAAATGATCAATAACAGAAAAAGAAATCTCATATTTATTAGTTTGTAGACTGTGGTTATTTGTCCACGCTCAACGACCGATCATATTATACTGCTGTAGTCAACGAGAACACAAATGCGGGCAATCGGATGTATTTGAATACTAAGTTATAGAACATTTTATTGAAATCTGAGAACCATACAGTAAATACTTCATTTGCAAAATGTCAATCAATCGTTTCAGATTTCATTGTCTTTTCGTTTCCACATCAGTCGTTCTCTGTTCTCGCTCTCTTTTTTTTCAATCTTCTGCCACCAGATATTTCACTTTCGGGTAATGATACATACTACTTATATCTGTCGACATCAGTAACACACACGAAACTCCATTGATCAAATTAAATCAAGAGATATCTGTTCATTCATCTTTAGTATAATAATGTATCTCTGCGCTTCTACGGTGTAATATCATATATCTTGCTCCTTATAAAAATGGAATCAGATATTAGCCATCAGTGTATGTCCCGACCGTTGTTGCTACCTTGACGTGGCGGTCGGGTTCCCCTATCGTGACGAACCATTCGAGCTATACTGGCTGGAACAATCGTCCCTACCATGCCAGACTTGTCGGTTGAAAAGCGGTAATACTAAAAGCAACAAACTCAAGGTCTAAAGGCAAAGTCGTACTGCTGACTGTACAGAGATGTGACAGCAGTGAGGTGTTTCCTTCAGACAACCAGCATAACAGCGATGCTGCCTTCCCACAAGGAGAGGTGAGGTTAGAAAAGGTCGACCCTAAAAATGCACACCTCTCCTTATCACACAAATATCCTTCTCCGGTCGTAAGGTCTTAACAAGTATGGAGCTAACAGGAAAATTACTCATCAAAAAGTCGTGTGTGACCGACTTCAAGCAGTTGTCCCTTGAGTATTACGGTCACACTCTCAGGTCACTAAGACCACTTCGAACCCAATTTCGTTTTCAGGTACCTTCAGAAGACTGACTGACCTCAGTGTGGGTGTGTGCATGTGCGTATCTAATCAATTATCTTTATTGACCTAAGTTTAATTGATTTCAGCGTACATTGTATAATATCATTAATGTTTACATTCTATTGAATTTATCATCCTACTTTCTTTTGTTTTTTATATATCACATATATATATAGCTGTTACAATATTGTAAAGTTAAACAATGGTTGTCATGGAGTATAAAACTATTATCATTCAATAATAAAATTAATTCAAAACAATATTCAATTTATAGAGAAATGGTTGAAAATTATTTAACTTATTATAAATCATTTTATTTAACTGGTACAAATTATCCAACAATTGCTGATATCTCTGTTGCATATACATTAACACAATATATAGATTATAATGAATGGATTAATTTAAATAATAAACAATATGTTGTTATATGGTTTGAAAAGTTAAGAAATTATTTCAATCAATCAAATAAAGTGAGTTGTTTCCCTATTTATTTTATTTCAATACATAAATATTGTTAAGATAAAGGGAGCGGAACATCGAATACAGATGCGCTACACAAGTCACTTGATTTGTGTGTAGGCTATGATTATTGGCTGATTACATCTCAGTCCTACAGGAGGTCAGTCGAGGCCCGGATAGCTCAGTAGTCACATCTCTGACTGTGAAGTTGGGTGACACGGGATCGAGCCCGCCAGGGAGCACCAGTTGCCTCAAGATTACAGGTACATCTTAGTGATGAGTGCCAAGTAGCGCGAAACCCGGGTCCAGGGTTTTCTGTCGACTACCTCCAACCACCATCTAAATCTCAACATATAGTGCACGCAGTGGTGGCCACATTGCAGCATGGTCGATAGCGTTTTACCTGCACTAAATAAGGACTTGACACGCATGACATTGATCACCACCCAGTGACCAATCAATTGTGATATGATACTGACCGGATGACCACATCCCAAGCCTTTAACCTAAAGGTCTGGATCCATAAGGAAGTGGAGCAACTTCAGGAGATTCAATCCCGTGGTAGACGGTGACCAATAATTGGTTCATACGTAATTTGTCCATTCAAGATCTTGGAGCCCATGTGCACGATTGGTCTGAAATTAGTGTTTTTCAATTGCTCCTAGGTAGATCCTCCATATCCACCAATCCGGTTAAAGCGTCGGATATTCGCTTTTCGTAAGCAACACTCGCGCCTCGAGAGGGCAGTGAGTAGGACTTTCCTGACGGTGCCTGTATATGCGTGGCTGTGTGAGATCTGACTCCCCACTCTCAGTCGTACCAGGGTATTTGGAGGCTGTCAGTTATAGTTATTCTTTCTTTTTGTACTTTCTAAATTTTTTTTAAAGATTATTTAAACACTAATCTTAGGCGAAGAACTATTGAAAATTTAGTTCTACTAGACAAATGTCTTTATATAGCTTTTTGCTTTACAACTCTATATGGGACAAGATTTGAAGAACAATTAATAATATGTTGTCGTAAAAATCCACTTAGAGATTCTGTGTATGTTTCGGTAGTCAGTCAGTTGTAAGCAACATAAAACCTGGAATATATGTGCATCAGTTCAATTCGTCACAAGGCAAAACCCCGAGTAATAGTAATCAGTATCAATGGTAGTAGGAAACATCAACCATGGACAATATTTAATAAAAATCAGTAGGTCAACGCCGATTCTGAATTATGTTATCCAATGCCTCCGACCACTGTGAACTCCAAGCAGGTAGTCTGCACCTAATAACTTAGCTCAGATTAAAAGTGAATAACTTGGTGAACTTATGTCAAGTTTTAGTCTAGTTACATTTAGCTTTCAATTTACTCCGACACTAACCAGTATCGCGCGTCAATATAAGCGGTAGTTGTGTATACGCAATCCATACACTAACCGCCTTAGTCGATAAAGTTTCACTATCTCATCAAATGATTTTCCATCTTCAACTAACATTCTAGGTCTAACCCCAGTATTGCTCACTCGGTGGTCCTAACATATGCGAGCTAGTTAAATGTTTGGCATTTATTATCCCAAAGAATTTTCTCATCCTACATATGTCAAGATCATGAGTCGGAATAAGTAATTTCATCGAATATTTATTTCTTAAAACTATACACACATATAGGTCGAATATGCCAACAAGTATCTATGTAAAGAAGCTTTCGGTATCCATGTTCGATTTTTATCAGAAAACAGTTTACACTAAGTAATTCATGAAAAGTGTTCAAAAATCTCCGCATTTTGTTCTATATATCATAGTATTTTGACGTCTCTGAATTCATGGTAATTATTCGTCCCGATCACTTTTGGGAAAGAGAACCTGGGAAAAGTCAGCTTCCCCTGTATGTATCGATTACTGAAATTATACGCAAGGGTGGCTACACTACAAAGAATAGATGCATCTTTACACCGTTGTGAACGACTTTGCGCTATGTCATTCAAAGTCTCTCTAACCACGAGTTACGATAATCTTGTGAACTTGAGCCAAGTAATCTACACTTCTGAACATATCTCGGTTCAATTGTCAATGAATTCATAGACTGATGTCATGTTTTGCTTTGACCATTCCTAACTTTTTTCCCCACTATAATCTCATATTAACTATACTTTTAATACAACTACTTTCATCTTTGTTTTTTTGCTTATTTTAGATGAGATCACTTTTCAAATGAAATAGTGAAGTGTTGTTGTGCTATTCATTCTAACTAACTAACTAACTTTAAGTTCCGAACAAAATTGTCACATTATAGTCATAAATAATTTGTATTTATCTATCAATACAACAAAAAAGAAGGAAGAAAAGAACTGAATATTTCATTTTTTTGTAAACATAAACTTTTTCTTTTTTGGTTGAGCTAATAATTGTGGTTCAATTTCAAATTCATAAGTTAATTGAACGGTTGTATCAATTTGTTCACCATCTGGTGGTTCATATTCTTCAGTTGAGTCAATAAATTCCCCGTGTAATTTTGGTGCAGTCATATATGGACCTATTAATGTTAAATAATTCATTTCATTTTCTTTTGTTACTATTCTTAAATTATCATTATTTGATAATTCTGATGATTGAATTAATTCAGGACAAGGTTGAATAGCCGCTTCATATAAATTGAGAGATGTTTTATATAACCATTTTAAAGCATTTTGTTGAGCAGCAATTGCTGAATTATACATAATCACTTCATTGTGTGCTACATTTCTTTGATAACGTGTCCAATTCTTCCAAATACCTATTCGTTCATCTAATTCCGTTTCACTAATATCTATTGATGGACGTTGACGTAATCTGAAGGAATTACAAAAGAGAAGAAAACAACAGTGATGACTACGATAACATAAATGTATGTGCAACGGAAAATCTTTAGACTAAGTTACAAGTTTAAAAATATTTTGGATTTTCTACATACATGTTGAATCTAAACGTTGCTATGTGATCAGCTTAATACAACAAGTTTATGTACCTTAGCGTTTAGCTACATTGTTCATGAGTGTATGTGGACTAGTAATATTGTTTACTTGCTCAAACTGAACTATGTGGAACAAGATTCAAAAATGCGATGGCTTTAACTACTAACTTATTGGTGATTGTCAACTTGAAGCCTTCAAATAATCACATATAGTATTCAGAATATTAACTAACCACTATGTGAAAGGGGTTTTGCGGATATTATAGTAATTTAATAGTTAAATTCACGAGTCAACTAAATCAAGACCATCATAGAAAATCTGGAAGCACTGGAACTCCTCAACAGTGCGCGTCCACGATCTCGCCAGTGGGACTCGATTTCAAGATATAATAGTCGATTGCTATCAGGTTTTCCATGGTGGTCTTGCTTTAATTGATTCATCAATTCAACTATTAAGTAACCACTAAATATCTCAATGTTGTCTGGTGTACAAGTATTTTGGAAAAAAGCTAAAAGCGACCAAACCAAGGTATAGCGTCAGTCTATGAAACCATTAACTTTTGTAGGCATCATTACCAATGTTTAACTTCATAATTCAGAATAAACTGAGCATTGGGTAGATTGTTATGAATAAATAATTTATTCTCTGAAGAACTGGCTTACACTGAGTCACGAAATGTTAGAAAATCTAGTTTTTCTACCCATTAGAATATTACAAAAATATATCATTAAGTTTTGGGTTCAGCAATATCAGTAGACGCAGACTATCTGTTTAAGGTCTGTCCGACCAATGGTTGCTAAAGTGTTGCATTCATCTTGATCTACATAGTGAGCCTTCTTATTCTTTTCTCCCGACCATAGCTGCTACCTTAAAGTAGTGGTCGGGCTTTCCTATCATGATAAACCAACCGAGCTACATTGGCTAGAACATATGTTCCTGTAGGTTCTACAATGCCAGGCAGGTCGATTAAAGAACCGTAAGACTAAAATCAGCGACACGAGGGCTGAGCGCGAAATCGCATGGATGACTGTATTAAGGTGTAACAGCACAAAAGTGTTTCCCGTAAACAACCACCATCTGTAGCGCTACTGCTTTCACACAAGCTCAGTCAGTCAGTAAAAACATAGAACTTCGTACATACGTACGTACATCAGTCCGAGTTGCCACATCACACAGATAAAATTGTCGATTCAAATCCCATAGTGGTAGAGGTGGTAGGAGTATAAGCAGTCATCGTAAACATTAGGGTTTGAAGATGTTATTCAGGGAGTATAATCTAGTGAAATAAACTTGGAAAAAGAGAAAAAAGGGACACGAAGAATTCAGAAGATTAGAATTCGGGAGAACACAAAGAGTGGATGCATCTGCGCCATTGCAAACGATTTTGAGCCATGTCATTCAACATCTCTAACCATCGGTTGCTATCATCTCGCGGTCCCCAACCAGGTAGTCTACACCTACCGACATGGCTCAGTCCACTTGTCAGTGACTTCATGGATTCGTGCCATGTTTTGGTCTGGCCGTCCCTAGCTTTCTTCCAACCTACTCCTATACCATTGAACATCGCACGTCGGTGTTTGGGCATACGTAACACGTATCCCAGCCATCTCAACTGATGAGGTTTCACTACTTCAATTGATTTGCCATCCTTACCTAGTACCCATCTCCTAACAACTGCGTTACTTACTCGATGGTCCCAGGATATACGAACAATTTTTCAAAGACACCTATGATCAAATACTAGTAACCTACGAATATCCTCTACTCTTACCGGTCATGTTTCACTGCCATAAAGTAGGACGGAACAAATTGCTGCGCAGTAAACCCGTCCTTTGGTTGATAGGCGGATATCTCGCCTACGCCATAAATGACGCAAGTTGGTAAAAGCTAGTCGAACCTTCTGTATCCGTGCTGAGATTTCGTCACACGCCAGACCACAGGGGCTGATGAGACTTCCAAGATAAGCAAAGCGGTCGACACGCTCAACTACTTCACTCCTTATCATTAGTTTGGGTGTCGATGCAACCCAATCCTGAAGCAACATTTTGCATTTCGAGGGGGAGAATCGCATCCCGAACATGCTTGCATTGTTGCTTAGAGTGGTCAGAAGACTGCATTTTGTCAGCGTCTTCACCAAATAGAACTATGTCATCGGCATATTCTAAGTCAACAAGTAAATCTCCCGGTAGAAGTTCAACCCCTAGAAATTTAGATGAGGAAAGTGTTATCTCTAAAAGCACGCCAACGACAAAGTTAAACAAGAATGGAGAGAGTGGACAACCCTGACGAACACCACTTAAGGTAATCAATTCTGATGACAGTTCGCCATAAGCTCTCACTCGACCAGTTGTGTTCGAGTAGAGAACCTTTACAAGGTTAATGTACTTCTTCGGTACTCCTTTCAGTGACAAACACTGCCATAGATCAACAGAGTCGAATGCTGCCTTAAGGTCGAGAAATACTACGATTGTGGGGCGTCTGAATGTGTGTCTGTGTTCCAGAACCTGACGTGGTGTGAATATCTGGTCTATACAACCACGCCTAGGTCGAAAACCAGCCTGGTTTTCCATAGTCTGTTCTTCACGAGCTTTCGTTAGGCGTCGAAGTATTATTGAAGCTAATATTTTAGACACTATATTAGTCAAACTGATTCCTCTGTGATTGTCACAAGAGGACTTTTGTCCTTTCTTATAGACTGGCACAATCAGTGATTGAGACCAGTCAGATGGGATTACGTCCAGTTCCCAAATCCTACCTAAGACCTCAGTTAATCTCACTGCTAATATTGGACCACCATCCTTAAAAACCTCAGGAGTAAAACTGTCAGGGCCTGCTGCTCTCCCTCGCTTCAGATTTCCCATAGCTTTTTCAACTTCGTAAAGAGTCGGAGGACCTACATTAACTTGCCATTCAGGTTTACTGGAGGTCGTGGGAAACCGAAGTATGGCTGAAGGCCGGTTGAACTGATCCCTAAAGTGTTCTTCCCATCGATCCAATCTCCTGGATTGAGAATGTAGAATATGTCCATCTTTTTCTGAGACAGTTTCGCTAACGATCGGGTTCCTGATACCGGTTTCCTCAACAAGTTTGAACAGTTGTCTACTATTACCTATTGCCGTTACCTTTTCCATCTCTCTTGCTTTCGCTACCCACCACTGTTCACGATCATTGCGTAGGCTTCCTGTCAGCTTGCGCCTAAGCTGACTCCGCTCTTCGTTATGTTCAGAGCCAGCTGGAATGAGTTTTCGCGCACCTATCAGTGAGATAGATGCTGCTGAAATCCAGTGTTGCTCTCTAACCTTGTGGTTTACCATACTAGCAGATATCACTGCTGTTTCCACAGCTTTTCGAATATCATCCCATGCTGCCTCGGGGTGGGCATCACATACATGGCTGCCTAACTGTTTTTCTAGTTGTTCCTGAAATACACTCTTAGCTTGACTATCATTAAGTAGGACCCTAAGAGGTTTCCTTGCAGCGTCTTTCCTACGTCCAGTAAGACGCAGACAAATACGCGCTTGCACTAGAGCATGATCTGAGTCTAAGCATGTGCTCCAGAATGAGCGAGTCTTCTATCGAGCCCCTCCATCGGTGGCTGATAGCGATGTGATCTATTTGGGTCCAACGTTGGGACGAATTAGGGGGTTGCCATGTTAAAAGATGTTTTTCCTTATGCTTAAAGTTAGTATTTGCAAGGAAGAGGCGGTTATCTGAGCATAGCTGCAACAGACGGTCGCCATTATCTGTTCTTTGAGCCACTACACTATAAGATCCACCCAGGTGTCTTTCCCTTTCGCTTAGTTTACCTACTTGAGCATTAAATTCACCAGCCACTATTACATCAGAGCGCCTAGCTTTTCGGAGAAGGTCGGAAAGCTTTCTGTAAAACTCATCTTTTACATCATCTGAGCTGCAGTCAGTGGGAGAATAGGCAGAGACTATGAAGAGGCAACGACGGGTGTCCCTATCTTTCCGGATTCTTACTGTTCCGTTGAGTCGGACAGCGCTCAAAGGACTGTCTACTGGGATCCATTCTAAGAGAACTAATTCTGCTCTGGGGCTCAATACTATACCTACGCCGGCGAGGCGACGGGAAGTAGCATTAGGGCTTCCAGATACACGAAGTGTGAATCGAGTCGGTTCTTTATTTTGACATAGTGAGGTCAAATAAATGACGCTACTCGGATCCTGTATGCGCATTTCGGAGACGCAGCACACATCGATGGCGCGAGATTCTAAAGTCCTAGTTAAGGAAGCCTGTTTTCCTATTTGGCACGGTGTTCGGACGTTAAAAGCTCTTAAGTGTAGCTTAGAGCGTGGTTTCAGGAGACCAGGAAAACTGTTCCGGTTCGACGTAACAGCACTGTTCACGTCAATTCAACAACAGTTAGCAAAAGAAACTATATCCCTGCTGCTCAACAACGACACAAACCTCACCAAATACACAAAGCTTCAAATTCAAAGTCTACTGGAACTCATCGATTTATGCCTAAAAACATATTTTCAATTCAACAACAAAATCTACGAACAAACAAAAGGGACACCCATGGGATCACCAATATCAGGACTGATCGCAGAGGCAGTGATGCAAAGACTAGAAGCCACGATATTACCAGTGATCAAGCCAAAAATTTGGATTCGCTACGTAGATGACACCTTCGTCATCGTCAAAAAGAATGAACTGGAAAACACATACAAACTGATCAACAATGTTTTCAATGACATCAAGTTTACAATGGAACAAGATTCAAACAACCTACTATCATTCTTGAATATGTTGATCACTAGATCTGACACAGGAAAACTGGAAACTTAAGTATATAGGAAACCTACCCATACAGATCGAATTCTCAACTACAACAGCAACGACCTAAAAGC